GTTAGCCAGGCTATGGCTTACTGAGGCTTCAAAGGTGCAGGCCAGGGATGTTTGGCAACATCTGGAGGGCCAAAGTTGCTCCACACTTTTGCTAAACCAATTTTTGGCTTACCGGTAATTCAGTGCATCAGTAAAAAAACTGAGGGGCATGGGAACTAAAGTGGCTGTGAGCCCCTCTCTGGAAGCCCACATTTGCACAGTCTCAGTAAGCCTCAGTTTGGCTTATTGTGTTGTGTGACTCAGCTTACAGAATAATAAGAATTATTATTATTATTATTATTATTATTATTATTATTATTATTATTATTATTTGTGGCTTCCAACAAAATATTAAAATGCAACAGTCCATCAAACATTAAAAGCTTCCCTAAACAGGGCTGCCTTCAGATGTCTTCTAAAAGTCTGGTAGTTGTTTTTCTCTTTGACATCTGGTGGGAGGGTGTTCCACAGGGAAGGCGCCACTACCGAGAAGGCCCTCTGCCTGGTTCCCTATATCTTTGCTTCTCACAGTGAGGTAACTGCCAGAAGGCCCTCAGAGCTGGACCTCAGTGTCCGGTCAGAATGAATGGGGGTGGAGACGCTCCTTCAGGTATACTGGACCGAGACTGTATAGGGCTTTAAAGGTCAGCACCAATACTTTGAAGTGTGCTCGGAAGTGTACTGGGAGCCAATGTAGGTCTTTCAAGACTGGTGTTATGTGGTCTCGTCTGCTGCATTCTGGATTAGTTGTAGTTTCTGGGTCACCTTCAAAGGTAGCCCCACAAAGAGCACATTGCAGTAGTCCAAGCAAGAGATAACTAGAGCATGCACCACTCTGGCGAGACAGTCTGCAGGCAGGTAGGGTCTCAGCCTGCATACCAGATGGAGCTAGTAAATAGCTGCCCTGGACACGGAATTGACCTGCGCCTCCATGGACAGCTGTGAGTCCAAAATGACTCCCAAGCTGCACATCTGGTCCTTCAGGGGCACAGTTACCCCATTCAGGACCAGGAAGTCCTCCACACCTGCCTGCCTTCTGTCCCCCCAAAAAAGTACTTCTGTCTTGTCAGAATTCAACCTCAATCTGTTAGCCGCCATCCATCCTCCAGACACTCACACAGGACCTTCACCGCCTTCACTGGTTCTGATTTAAAAGAGAGGTAGAGCTGGGTATCATCTGCATACTAATGAACACCCAGCCCAAACCCCCTGATGATCTCTCCTAGCGGCTGCATGTAGGTGTTGGAAAGCATGGGGGAGAGGACAGAACCCTGAGGCACCCCACAAGTGAGAGCCCAGGGGTCTGAACACTCATCCCCCCACCACCACTTTCTGAGCACGGCCCAGGAGGAAGGAGCGGAACCACTGTATGTGCCTCCAGCTCCCAGCCCCTCTAGACGGTCCAGAAGGATGTTATGGTTGATGGTGTCAAAAGCCAATGAGAGATCCAGCAGAACTTCGAAACAGCTCTCACCTTTGTCCCTAGCCCGCCGGAGATCATTGACCAGTGCGACCAAGGCAGTTTCAGTCCCATGATGAAGCCTGAATCCCAACTGGAAGGGATCCAAATGGTCCGCTTCTTCCAGGCGTGCCTGGAGTTGTTCAGCAACCACTCGCTCAATCACCTTGCCCAAGAATGGAAGATTTGAGACTGGAAGATAGTTGGCCATATTGGCCGCATCTAAAGATGGTTTTTTAAGAAGCGGTTTGATAACCGCCTCTTTCAGCTGGTCTGGGAAGGCTCCCTCACGGAGGGAAGCATTCACCATCCCGCAAAGGTCATTGCCCAGCCCTTCCCGGCTAGCTTTTATAAGCCAGGATGGGCAAGGATCAAGGAGACAGGGCTGTCCCTGAATAAGTCTGGCCCAACTCATAGCCGCGGACATGCCTTGGACCTGGTGTTCACCTCTATGGATGTTGGTGATCTGACACTAAAAGCGAAACGAAAGAAGTGCCACGGTCAGATCACTTCCTGGTGCAACTGGACTTCTCCATGACCCTTCCCCTCTGCAGGAGGTGGGACCGATTCAGATGGTCTGCCCCTGCCACTTGATCCAAATGGTTTCCAGAGAGTGGTAGGGGATGCTTTATCCCATGTTTATGGCCTTTCAGCTGATTCCCTGGTGGCCCACTGGCAAGTTAACCAGGGCTATTGACTGTTTGGCTCAGAAGCGCCCTCTCCGATTGCATGGAGCTCTTTGGCAAACTTCTGTACCTGTTTGTCTGCCCTTGAGGTATAAATGGTATCATCAACAAAGACTAACACCATTTCCTGTGACTCTCCTGACCCTTTAAGGTACAGGCAGCTGTCAGCAAGACTCTTCCTGAAACCTAGCTTCTAGGAATGTGTGCTGAGCAGCAGAGGCCTGCCGGACCTTATCTCTCTGAACAATAAATCTTCAGAGCACACATGCACAAGATGCCTCTTCTAGCATCCCATTTCGACCAGTGGACAGACCTCTGGAACGGATTATGTCCGTAAGTAGAGGTTCCGCTGTACAGTAAAAAAACAAACTCATCTAAAGAAAAGAAAAAGAGATAGAAGAATGCAAACTCCTGTCTCACAGATACTGAATAACTTACCTTTTGTCCCATGCATAAAAGGTGCACCCCCCCCAGCTCTCACCTGAGAGCATCCCTTTCTTCCCTCAGCCTCTCACCCTGGGGAATCTCCCCTTCCCTGCCTCTCACACAGGGTCCTTCACTAACTATTCATCGCCTTCATCTGAATGCAATTCATTCTTTAATCTAGAGTAGAGGACAACAGCAACAGAAAATAAGTCAAAACAAAAACAAAATAACACAAAAAAGAGGAGGAACAAATATCACAAAAAGGATCAGAGAGGAATAAAGAATAAAATACAAATACAAAGGACTTTCAACTTCTTGATGAATACAACTTATGGAATGTAATAAAAATTATCATTGCTGATACAATCAGTGTTAACACTGGGGAAAATAATGGCGTTGTCAAATTGCAACAAATGTTCTCAGGCAAGGATGTCAACAAACCACAACTTATCAGTTGCCAGCATCACGTTCTGGACAAGATTCTCAGAGTGGTCATGGACAGGGAACTTGGTGGTAACACCAGATCTCCCAATATGGAATATCCGTTTATGTCTCAACTGATGAACAAGTATGAGGAATTGAAAGCAAAGTTTGTGAATGGAACAGAAGAAATCCTCAGTAAAGCAGGCTGGAGAGAGATGACATGAACATTTTATACTATCTTACATGGGTGTTCAGATTCCTTGAGGAAAAAGGGGTTGTTTTTCCCACATTGGTTAAGTTTACGGAAGTTCCTGACAAAAGCAATGCCAGGTGGAATTCAAGAGCCATTCTCACTGTCCTTGTATTCATTCTTATACCTGCAACAAGGAAGACAAGGAAGACTTTGGAGAAAGTACGCAGACTCGTTTCATATGGCTGGGCAGTCTGTTGGTTTACTAATCAGATGTACAATGAAAATGACTTCAATAACTTGCCAGAAACATTGAAACCTTACAAAAAAGCACTGTGGGTATTAGAGAATCACTGGAAGCAGGGGCCATCGGTACTTCAGATACCAAGAAGTAATCAGTTCACAGAACATACAATCAAAGTGATGTGGGAACTTTATGGAGCTTGCAGCAGAAACAGACAAACTGCAGCCTCGATTTATTCTAAGCAATAAGAAGTGATATACAATGTACAAAACATTGTACAAGTATTAGAAAATTTGCAGGCTCCATTTTACCTGTATTATAATACATGTTATGCATATTACATAATACAGTTACATATACAAAAATCAATTTATTGATTTTAGGGTGACCTTTTTTCAAAATATTTGGAAATGACAGTTCATTCCTTTGTTTTTAGTCAAAAGTTCAGGAACATGAGGTTGCAAAAACATTATAACCCTATTGCACATACAAATTTCTTCAAAATATTTGAGATGATCACTCCAAGATAACAGCCAGTTATTCTTCCTTCTGCTAGATGATGGGCATCTCAAGTTCATTTTCCATCCTCACAAAAAGTCCAAAAGAGGTTGTGAGCACAGATATCAATGGAAGTCAACATTAGTTTTCCTCCAGTTCAGCATACCAGCTTTGCCTCCAATACTGAGAAACAATACTTCCTTAAATCCTTATCCCCACAGGGTTTTCTTTGCTGTGTTGATATACTAAGACTGTGAGCCATAATCATTACTTATTGAGGGTTTTTTACAGAGAGAAAAAATGGCTTCTGCTTTCTACTCTTCCATTTCCCCCACAAGCATTGTCAGTGGCTTAGAAGCACTTTCCTTTAATTTGAAACCAAATTTTACAGAATCCTTTCCTTCTCAGCTTTGCGTCTGCCAGTTCAGTATATTCATTCATCTCTCCACCCGTGGTTTCCTTCTCTTCCTCTGACATAAATCCACACTTTGACCTCCCAACACCTGTGTGGAGGGTCTTTCGATGCTGACATTTACTTCCTCCAGCATTCCCATTCCCTTCTTCTGCTCTGGCAATCCTCCATCAGTATCCCCCCCCCCCAGCACTATTTAACTTCTCCACCGTCAGCTTCACCCAAACCATCTTTGTTCCCCATTCCGTGTAGTTTTCCTCTAAGTTCTCTCTCAGCTGATCATTCAAGAGATGCCACATTACAGGAACGATGCGTCTCCCATGACCTGGACCATGCTGGCTGCAGTCACCGTCGAGGGGCCAATGGCGGGACTCTGCCTAAGGCTCCTTCTTCTGGGTCCCTCCTCGATGGGAGTCTCCCCCCAGCTCAGAGCCCCCGAGAGAGGTCGACCTGAGGCTGCAGCCTGCAGGGCTCTTCTTTTGCGAAGCTAACGCTCCAGTTTGCAAACCCAGAAAATGTGATCCCCAGGCGCGCCATGGCCGAAGAAAGCCCAGCCCGCGACCGGCCCCGAGCAGCGCCTCCGGATCGGGGGCAGGGGCGGGGCCGCCGCCGGGGGCGGGGCTTGGGCTGCGCGGCGATAGCTTCTGGCGCAGAAAGTGACCCGCGCGAAGCCCGTCCGCTTTTGCGCCTTCCCTGCGGCAGCTGCGCGCGCTCCGTGGCCCGAGAGCCGGAGCAGGACTCGGCGTGTCCCTGGCGGGCGAGAGTCTTCCTCGGCATGGGCGGGCAGTGCTGCTGCTTATCCTCGGAGGAGAAAGCGAACAGGATGCTGAGCTTGGAGATTGAGCGCCGGCTGCGCCAGGACAAGCGAGACTCGCGCAAGGAGCTCAAGCTGCTGCTGCTGGGTGAGTTTGTGGGCGAGGAAAGCCTCCCGCGCTCTCCCGCCAGGATGCTCCCGAGAGCTCTCCGCTTGTAGGATATTCCGGCTTTGCTTTTCCATAACTTGAGCCCGCGAGAACAGCTCGGCCCAACCCGTCTTGCAACAGGTGAAACGATGCTCGAGGCTCTGGGTGTGTGCAGACTGCGTTTTCAATACCGTTGGCACATTTGCAGTGTTTTTTAAAACCACTTTAGTGATTTAAAAAAATCTGGACTGCAATTCATAAACCTACTTATTATTCATTTAAGATGTTACCTTTAATGTGCATGCATGGTGTTTTGCATTCTTGCTTGGGTACTTTGTAAATTAGACCATCCTTGCTCTAAGCTTAGACAGAGACTGAAGTTCCTTCCAGGGGATCTCCCTCATTTTTTTGCAGGGAGGTGACATTGGCTGTTAATTGAGCATCCACTCTGATTTGTTTGTGGCGAGGTTTGGCAATGTCAAGCATCAAGCATCACCCCCCACTTTCCAGTGTGTTTTCCCATCACTTTCTGCATTGCAAAAACATTCTATCTCTTTTGGAAGCAGGTTAGCTCTGCAGGACCTCCAAATCAACTTTAATTGCACAGCCTGAATTTGCTGATATATGATTGAAGTTCAGCTGTAAACGGCGACTGTCTGGAAGTGAACTTAGTATACTAAGAGGAAGATACTTGTACAAGGCCACTTAGAACTGCTGCTAGCATTACATCTCCTACCTGTTTTGTTTTTAATGCAGATACAGAGAGTGGAATGCAGGAAGCTGCCTCACTAATTGTCTGGGGACAAGCAACAGTCCATCCCCTGGACTCTATCTGGAATGGCTAAGTAATTCCATAATCTTCAGGGTGGGCCTTGAAGGCCAATTAACTCAGGTTTGAAAGTGAGGTTTAAAAAGTGGGTTAAAGGAATAGGGGCAGAATTTGTGTGGACTAGTTGTGTAGCTGTATGATTTATTCACCACTCTGTTGCCATTAGATTTCCAGTATGGTTGGACAGGCACTTTCCAGTTGGTGCCACTAAGGCTGGGTTCTTATATTGCCTCTGTGGGAGCTGCAGGCCTTCTATCTGACATGGTGAATAGATGTTATGTGGACTCAATGGAGTTTCAAATCCCCATTGAGGTGACCTTGGACTAGTTACTATCTTTCAGCCTAATCTACCTCACAGGATTGTTATGAAAAGAACACTGGGGGTAATTAATCTTTAGCCTAAAGAAGCCTAAGGCTAAATCCAATATTAGTTCTACTACTACATCCATTCAAACGAATAAACATGGATACCTTAGGTCCATTAATTTCAGTTATTCAGAGGAGAACTAAGTTGAATGCATCCCCAAGGGTAGACTTGATAGTAGTATTCAAATATCTGAAGACTGTTTCATACAGAAGATGGAGCAGACGTTTTTCTGTTGCTCAAGACGCCTGGACTAGAACCAATGAGTGCTGGTTACAGGAAAGCAGATTTCAACTAGATGTAAGGAGAACCTTCCAAAGTCTGATTGAACAGACTGCCTAGGGAGGTTGAGATCTCCTTCACTGGAGGCATTTAAGCAGAGTATGGACAGCTGTCTGCCAGGGAAACTGTAATTGCAGCTTGTATTGTGGATCCTGCACTGAACAGCAAGTTGGGCTAGCCAACGATGATAATTTTATTATTTGTACCCCTGTACTGGGTTGCCCCAACCACTCTGGGACATTAAAAACTCCCCTATACAGGGTTGGTCTAGCCACCAAGATCCCTTCCAGCTCTTTAATTTTATACTAATTATTATTTTAACAATCAGCATTGACCTTGTAGGTCCTATACTGCACCATGCAAGGTTAATGGGAAAACCCAGGAACAAGCATGAAGAGCAGTGAAGTGGGGTGGAAGGTTTCTACACAGAAAAAAATGGAACTTTAGTTAAGCAATCAGAAGTGCTGTAATGTATGACTTCCTTTGGACAATAACACTACAGGGGGCTAGCGCCAGAGTACTAGACACCGGTGGCAATAACTGAAGGAAAGAGGAGGCGCCATTTGCTGCTGAGGTAAAGCCTCGATGATGATGACTGGTACAGAGAGACATAGGGAGGTATTCAACATTGTTCTAAATTGTCAGTGCAAGCATTTCTGCTTGGCAAATGGACTGATTCCCTTCTCCCCCCCACTGTTGTAGGTGTTGTCCCATCCCTCCAGAGTGGATTTGGAGGAGCTGGGAAAGCCCTGTTGCACTAGGGGGAGCCCTTGTGCTGGCTTCTGCTAACCCACACAGGAGTGTGGGAGCTTATAAGATCTCAGCCTCCAAAACAAAGTTGAGGAATAAACAATGAAGTTTCTGGGTGTTCAGAATGATTGTGTCTAAATTAGGGAGCGCTAAATAGGGATTGTTGATGCTCATGCAGCTGCTGCCTCTGCTCTTATACCTTGACCAAGTCAAGGCAGTGGTCACCTTTGCTCCTGACCTCTCAATTACAATTTATCTGGAACCTCAGTAGGTGCAACTGAGGCCAGTGACATTCCTCCATACCTCCTCTGCTCAGCTCGTCCCTTCTAACTTTTTAATAACGCATTGCTTTGTCCTTTTCATTTCTCTCTCTCTCAATTTAAGACTCTTCATGCAGTCATTTCCTAGTTCTTTAATGTGGTTGCACAATGTATACAATCAGCAGAAATGACAGAACAGTGGGTTTTGGCAAGGCGGTAATAAAACATTACTAGAAGTTTTAGATGTTTCTTAAGCAATTGGTTTTAAATAATTGTTTAGGATTCAAAGCCATAGTACCCACAGTTCAACATATGCAAAAATGTCCTAGTAAAGTTAGTTGAAGATGTGGACTTTGATTGCTATAAATGGGTTGTGCTCTTCTAATATGTGTCTGAGCTCTCAATCTATTTTGCTAGGCAGATTAAGAGGACCGGTAGGCCACATTCAGCTAAGGACCAGAGATTTCCCATTCCTGTCTGGTAGTGGCTCTCCACGTTTCGGAGAGGAGTTTTTCCTACCTTAACAGGAGATGCCAGGGGTTGAATCTGGGACCTTCTACATGCAAAGCACGTGCTCTGTGGCTGAGCTACACCGCTTGCCAATTGAATCATAGAATTGTAGAGTTGGAAGGGACCCTGAGGGTCATCCAGCCCCAGTCCCTGCAAGGCAGGAATATGCAGTTGCCCCATGCAGGGATCAAACCTGCAACCTTGGTGTGATCAGCACCATGCTCTAACCAACTGAGCTATTGGTGGAGGCTAAAAAGTTGAACTATCACTCACCCGGCCTACCCAAAAAGGATGAGACACTGCCCCTGCCCCAATATGTCTCCTTAGCATCTGATACTCATTTTCTATCCCTGAACATGAACTTGCTTGGACAGTGCAGTATCCAAGGAGGGAATTCATGGAAGATAAGAGCAGCTTCTGTTTAGTATTATATAAAAAGGTGCCTGGCAGATACTAAAACATACTACTACTACTACTTTTAAAGAACGAAAGCTAGTAAATGCAAGAGGACAAACAAATAGCCAAGAATAACTACTGCAGTGTTTCCCAACACTAGTGTGCCGCGGAACGTTGCCTTGTGTTCCGTGGGAGGGAGGCGGGCGAGTCGGGCGGCGAGAGGCGGGGCGGCGGCGAGCACACGCGGGGCGGCGAGCGAGCTCCCTCCCATATCCCATCGCCGCTCGCTTCGGCCGGCCTACTGGAGGAAGGTGCGAAAACCTCGCGCATGCGCAGGCCTTCCGCCTGCGACAGCCCAGTAGGCCGGCCGAAGCGAGCGGCGATGGGATGTGGGAGGGAGCTCGCTCGCCGCCCCGTGTGTGCTCGCCGCCCGACTCGCCCGCCTCCCTCCCACGGCACACCAGCCTACCTCCGTGGGAGGGAGGCGGGCGAGTCGGGCGGCGAGAGGCGGGGCGGCGGTGGCGAGGAGAGGCCACCCAGCGCGGGGCTCTCGCCGTCTGCCTGCCTGGCTGCCTGCGAGCTCGGCGGGCAGCGCTTCCGCCCGCAGCGCCCGCCTCGCGGCTCTCATTCCCTGCCCCTGCCAAAGCTCACCCAGCCAAGCCGCGCTCTCCTTCCTGCCTCGCTTTGCTGCCTCCTCCCCCCCCCACCCCCAAAGCTTGGAGGTTCCCCGGCAGGAAGGAGGGAACTTAATCCTCTCCAAGGGCTGCGGAAAACAGACATGCAAATGGGGGCTTGCCAGCTCTTCAAGCGCCGCCGGCTTTCTTCGGGAATTACCGCCCGCCGAGCCCGGTAACGCTGACAGGCCGAGCCGCGGGGCTTGGCAGCGCAGCTGGCAGAGTGTGGGAAAGGGCGGCCGCCACGCGCCGGGCAAGGCGAGACTCGACGGGGAGGACACCGGCAGCAGCGCCCCCCCCCCAGAAACCCGCTCCGGGCAGGTAATTCACAGAGAGTGGACAGAAGGAAGCCTTAAAGGGCTTCAGCCTCCCAGAGTGGCGGGGAATAATAATAATAATAATGATAATAATAAAATTGACAGGGGGTGTTTTTCTAGGTGAGGGGGTGGGGACTGTAATAACAAAAAAATCAGCTCTATATCAACCGCTGTTTTGCAATGAGAAATTGCAAATAAGGAAGATCAAAAGGAGAATGTTTTTTTGGGGGGGACTCTCTTCCTCTTCCTCCTCCTCCTCTCGTTCTTGCTCCTCTTCCTGGCAAAAGGGCTGCTGAGACCCCTTCTCTCTTGGGTGCCGGTGGGTGCTGTGACGTTGACGCTGCTGTGGCAAGTGCCTTTACTTAGCAGAGTGCATTCCCCTTTACACAGGAGGGGAGGGAAAAAAATTGAAACTTACACTTTCGTGCGTCCCTCCCGGCGCGACGCTGTGCGCTGACGTCACGGGGCTGTAATGGTGGTGTGCCTCGAGATTTTTTTCATCAAACAAGTGTGCCTTTGCCCAAAAAAGGTTGGGAAACACTGAACTACTGTATTCCAAACAAGGAACGATGTATTCTGTATGTAAACAAAAAAGCACGGCCCATATCCATATCCTTT